GCTGGCCCTTGGCAGACGCCGCACAGCGCTCCCCTTGCAGTCCTGCCCCAGCAGTAAGGAACCTGTGGCTCCGTCCTCCCACTGGCCGCTGGGCTGGCTTCGCTTCTTGCCCTTCGCGAGTCGCAGGCTGCTAACACATAAATAATACCCACCTATTTCATCTTATTTACATGTTAGCAGCCTGAGACTCACTAATATCTCAAAGTTATTCAGTTACTAGACCAGAAAAAGAAAAAAGAAATATTAAACTATTAATTAACTCTGCTACCATTTGCTTAATGCTATTGTTAAGCAAATGGTAGCAGTTATTTATTTTCTCTAAGAATTGTGGGTGCCATCTATCTGATTACATGAAAATGGAATATGAGGAGGAAACTGTGTTCAAGCAACACGAAAACTTTGACTATAGCAGCAACATCCTGTTCTAAAAATTTGTTTCTATGCTGTACCACTCTCTACACACAATTACATGAGAGAGTTAACAGACCTTGATATTTATATTTGGCAAAAACCCCATTGGTAGCACACCAGTAACACACAGGTATGTGTGTATATATATTATATATGCCTATTCACAATAGCTACATTTTGGTAATGAATTCCAACAGGAACAAGATGACTAAATAATATAAAATTAAAAAAATAGGCATTATTAGAAACTAAATACAGTATGTTGTGACATAAGGTAAGCCACTGTCTACACTGGGAATAACAATGATGTTCTGTGGAATAAGTGATTTATAGGATTCTACCAATTAATTTTTATTATGATAATATTATTTAATGGTGATAGCCTGATTACACTGTTTTGGTGGCTGGAAAGCTAAGTAAGTTGTAAGAACAAACTAATTTTTTTACAAAGATAGATGATCATGTAACTTCACTGGCATCAATGTTGATCTGTGCTTCATTATGCTAAAATGCACAAGATACTTCTTGGTTCTAACTCCTTCAGTACTGAAAGGGCGCTGGGTGTTTTTTAGGAGAGTTAATAAGAGAGACCAGAAATTGTGATGGTGAGCAGAGGACAGCTAGTATTAGTGTTTAAGATTAAATTTTCAACAGTGCATACATACCTAGGGTTATACTTTTAAGTGCCTAGCATCCACATTTGGGTCAGATTTTTCAAGATGCCAGCATTCTATTAGGCACATACACACAGATCAGATCTTCAAATGTGCTAACGTATTTTGACACTCTAGTTCCTTATGTCAGGTCATAGATGGGAACTGAGCTTCTCTTAAAAATCTGGTCTCAGTTGTGAGTCTTAAGCTCTTCTGCAACATTTGGCCTGAAGGCACAATTTAGTCCTTACTGATTAGGCAATTTCAAAAAACTGCTCACCTGCAACTCCCTGTTTAGTATTACCTAATCGATACATGAAAGCATTTTCTAATACAAAAGAGACGAGCGGGTCATCTTTTCTGTGTGGGAGCGTTCACGTGTGCAGGTGCGCACTCGTGTACACTTCAAACATATTTTGTAAATATTTCACCTTCCCTTACACACGAGGAAGTAATTGGTACATGCATGTTTTGGAAACCATTCAAAGTTGATTTTCTGCGTGGGTAAACAAAGTGCTCATTGGTGCCAGCTTGCTTCATTTGGGCGGTGTGCAATGGAACGCAGGGCAGTTGCATCCTGCAGCTTCGAGGTACCTACTTGCATTTGTGTAGAGAAGGTAGAGAAAGAAGGAAGGGACTTGTGATCCCGACAGGACAACAGCAATGCTGTGGTGCGAGGGATTTCTCTGGAGTTCAAGCATAAAGGCTGCATTAATTACTATCCAATCAATGCAGATGTTTAAAGCTAACCTGATAAAATTCCATATTAAGCACTACATATTAAATGTTACTGTTGAAATCATGCCTGTAGAGACTTTAACATGCACAGGACTGAAATGTCTATACATTTCAGTATTGCGATCTTATGTATGTATTTAAACTTTTCAGATGCTATATGCACTCCATTTGAAATCAGTGACAATCTACAAGGTTGATACATCTTGCATTTCTGGAAATTTATAGAAGCAGCATGGCATTGGCCAACCCTCCAAAAGGAACATCTGATAGCGGCTGTCACAGAATCTCCCTGAAAAACGTCTCCTCCTCCCCACCTTTTAGAAACCAAATGGCAGGATTATCTCAGATCAGGTACTGCACAAATAGACTCTGTAGGCCTAAAGAAAAGTTAGCAGTTGGGGTGTTTTCATGCTCACGATACTGAGATTTGTTGGCCAAAACAAAGCTTGTGGTATTTATTCAAACAAAATACAATCAATATGAAGACAATCTACAATTTCTTCCTCCTGCTTCTATATACTAGCAGGGAAAGTACTATGACACTGTATCATAAATCACTAACACAGATACAGAGCTATAAAACCATCTTTGTCTACTGTTTACAGTAGAGTCAACCTGGGAATCTTTCTAGACAGTGTGGATATGGCAAAAAAGTCTGAAATGCCTAGGATTTCTTATTATACTTCATCCATTTGCTCTACAGCTATAAAAGGGCTAATATATTTTAAACCAGAAGAATAAATAGTGTAAGCTTTGGAAGAAAGCAGATGTAGCAACAAAATATATTAAAATGTGAATTGCTAACCGATTGATTTTATAATGGCATTTTCTTTCTTTTTTTTTTTGGATATAGCTGCATTTACATTAATCAAGTTCATAGTTATGTGAAAATAAGCTATTTCTGGGTTTGTCTATAAAAAAGACAAAAACTTTGATTTTACTTTAATTTCAATTTTGCTTTGATTTTAGCAGCATTTTTAAGTTAAAACACTAGGGGTCTGATATTTTTTGATAGGCTGTAATTCTGCAGGTGCTATTTTACATCTACAGGTTAGTGTAGCTACAGCTGACAGAAGTTTGGTATCTGCTGCATGTATAACCTGAAGCTGAGATGTTGAATGTCAGCAGTCAAAACATTCTGTTGAAAGGGAAGTTGAATGGCTGGGCTGCTTTTTAACGCCTCCTTGCAATAGTTTCATTTTAAAACAGCAAGTTTATTTCTTTTTAAGATGTGGGAAGGAAACTTTTTCACTTAAATGTGCCCTGAATTTTAGTATGTTGAATTGTATTTATCTCTGACATTATCCTGGTTGTAATTCCCAGCAAAGTTAATGAAGCTATAGATGATTTTGATAACACTCTATGCACAATATATGACTAAACTTTTTTTTGGCAGCAGTATCTTTCATTACTACTTAAACACTGCATGCCTTTATTTTGTGTGTGTGGGGGGGAAGGTGTGAGTGGTATTTAACACCATATCCCTATATTCTAGCCCCTTATCCTTTTATCAAGTAAACTATACAAATATTTCTAATTCAGTCTTTGAATTACAGAATCAAAATAAATGCAAAAAACCTTCTCAATTTAGACTTGTAATTCCAGGTAACTTGCTTGCTCTGTTCATTAAGCATGACTAATTTGGGGAAAAATCCTTCTTGTAGCTGCAAAGCATCCTCTAGTGTCTATCTACAATCATCAAAAATTATAAACAAATCTTCAATTAAAAAAAAATTTGATCTTTGAGAGGCATTTCAGCATTTTGTTTATTCTGGAAATAAGATAATATTCTAAAACTAAGGGCAGAGTTAGTGGGGTGGAGAATATTTTACAAAGAAACTAATAAGCATTTTGGCTTTGCATGTTTTTGAATTATATTTCCAATTAAAAATGCAGAGTGCTAAATCACATTACAAAGACAAATAGGAAAGTACAACTTCATTGTTGAAAACAATTTCCCTCCTATCAATCTGAGGATTCATGCATCAATATTGTAGATGAACTGTTAATTACAAAATCAATTAAAAAATTATTTCTAAAAACAGTCACGCGTCCTGGCTCTCAGGGGGGCAATTTGGGCAGAAGGTCTCATCTCACTAGGACCGCGCCAAATCACAAGTCGTCATCCACAAGTAAGCAAAAGCAATCTGGTTTTTCATTTTTCAGCGCGGCTGAGCCCAGCCTGAGATTGATCGTCACATATGGCCCCAGAAAACAAACTGTCAATACCTTGAATGCTGCAGAATTTGAACAAATAGCCGTCCGCCCATTCAAGCCACTCATTGCATCCCATTTAACAGATTTTATTGACAGTTTCCTTCTTGTAATTAAAGGGAAAACTACTGGCCAGCAACCAAGATAAAGTTCAAAGATAGGGTCAAAACAAAAGCAGATGGAGGGGCACGGTGTGACTGTCAATGGAACATAGCATCAGAGCATGTTATTGACACACAGGTATCTAATGATCGGCACGTCATTAAAGAGGGATCTATCGTGAACTTTATGCAAATGCTAAAAGGGACTTAAGACCACAATAAAGCATTAAGGAGACACAAAAGGAAAAACAACAAAGCACAAACGATTTTTACTTATCTGACAGTATTCACTGCTTCAGCACTTTTAAATTCAAATGCAGGAAAAAAATTCTTTCTGAAATTTTTAACCCTTGCTGCACAGGTAATAATTTTTGCAGAAGCATTCTCATAAATGCAGAGGATCCATAAGGTAAGGTGTGGTCCTTGTGAGATTAAATAAGAATTTCCTCCCTCCTCCCCTATGCTGAATTCACCCTATCAAATAAATCAGTAGCTGCCTTTAAAGAGAACGTATATAGCATATCCTCATGCATCCTTTCTGTTCATTTTAATTGCAATGATTACACCTGTCTGGATTATGGAATGGATTTAGGAGAACAACATCTATATTCATTTGAAGGCATCTTTGCCTGTAAAATACTCTCCAAATCATACAGTGCAGTATTCTCCACTCCCTTAGGAATATATTCCACAATTACTTAGAACCAGAAAGTTCTTTTTAGTTTGAACTGCTTTGTTTGTTGTCTTTTAGACTAAAGTCTGATCAGCGATTTCTTATTCTAAACCCATGTTTAAAAAAAGCATGCAGAAAGTATTATGGAGGAAAAAAAAAAAAGAAAGCGACATATTAAAAATGTAGCAACCGTCATGCCACTCTGCCAACCTGAATTAGCAAGTGCTATAGCTTTGAGGGTGACAAACTCTTCTTTCTCCAGCTTCATGCTCTTGTACTTCTTTACCAGCTGCAGTATGGCATTGTTAAGGTCAAGAAGGCCTGCCAATTTGGATTGGTCTTCATCCATAATATAATCTTCAGCATATACGAGCTCATCCTCAAAAGAAAGTGACCGGTATACAACACCGAGAATCAAAATTTCCATCCAAGCACTCTGCAGAAGGCTCATCTGGTCAGCTAGAGACAAAGTAGAGAATCCTGAATAGGAAAAAAATACAGGAAAAATATTAAGCACGTTTGGATTTGTCAAAAATCTGCTCCTCTTTTTGATTTATTTTTATATACAATGTGATAAAACATGTACGTCCTCTATTATTCTCCCTTCTGCTTTAGTGCCCCTCCTCCCCATCCTACTACAGGAAAGTGTATCAATATAAAATCAAAGGTTTTCTAGTCAATGTATGAAGTTATAAACAATCTGGAATTTGCAGGCTCTTTCTGTAAGAAACATATTAATTTGGGGAGTATTGCAGTGATAGTCTGTGATTTGTATGATGCCGCCTTTGTTCTGAAATACTCATGCTTAGTTCTAAAACCTGATGCTGTGAAACAGGGATCTGATGACTCTGCTCATCGTTACTATAAACCAAGAAGGATAATTTAGGAGACAAAAAAACCCCCCTTTTTTAAAAAGTGAAGATTTGATGTTTTAATAGAATTAAGGTGATTATCACAAAGAGGAAAATTCTCTTTGAACTTTAACCTCAGGGGAAAGAGAAGTAACACCTACCCTCCTCAGAAAAGATGGTAATTACTTCCGTAACGGCTCCCGCCTCTATTACACTTGTTGAAATAACAGGGCGGCATATTGAAGTGCCAACTGAATAGCAGTCACACCATCCTTTTTCTGAGGGCAATCAAAAATTTAATAAATGCCTCTTAATGAATTTAACTTTTGCTTTTTTTCTCCCCCCCACCTCCACCCCGCTGCCCTTCCTAATAGGATCACTAAGGGCAAACATCTTTACTGCCTTACCTATTCAGACTCTTGTTTACAGTACCTGTCAATTTATTATATCAAACTGCTAATATCCCAATCACATTAGGAGCTACAAAACAATATGGGAGAGGAAGTGATTTTCCTGGCCTGTTGGTGAAATGCAGTAGTTTGCCAGTTGGCACCATCAACCGCAAGTACTTAATAAAATCATCAAAGGGGATTAGTCAAGCTTTTCTTAAAGGGTCTTAAGACATGTCTGAGGCTTTCATTTAGTTGTTTATGAAGCTGCTTACATGTCCTTTGACAGGGTTCCTGCTGTAAGAACATTCTTTTTGGCGTTCAATTACACTTAAATGCATTTTTCTGTTTTGAAAGTCAAGAGTTACAGTCAAGCAGGAATATATCATAAACTGGCAAATCTGCAAGGCATCTACTCCAAACAAGATTTTCTCTCTAAGCACTAAGCAGCAAAACTAATACAATAAAAAAGAAAACCCCACATCCAAACCACCAGGCATCCATAAAAAATGAAACATAAAACTGGCTGCATGCTCTCTCTCTCTCATTTTTCTCCCCCCTCCTTATTTGTTTTCATTTTCTCTTACTGTCTTTTGAGTCTTGTGATAGAACTGTGGCTCTCTGCCTTCAAAAAAACCCAACAAAAACTGAGCCAACAACAACAGGAAACCCTTGAAGAGGTGACAATGGAAAATAACACATCTACGATTAAAATAAGTAAGAGGGAAATGGAGAAGAAATAATCATTTGAAAGGTTATAGGGAGGAATTCATGATTTCAATTAGCTTCAACATTTCTGTTCCTTCCCGTCTTTCAAGAACCAGTTTTTCTGCAGTAGCAGATGGACAGAGAACGTAGCCTGCAGCACCGTCCTGTGACAGCCCCATTCTCCCTCCCAGACACTGCTGTTAGTAAATAGATTTACACATTCTCCAATCTCCACACATCTTTCTGCCGAATAATTAAAAGCAGGATGATTAGTTTATTGAGTGGAAGGAGGAACTTTTTTATTGAGGTCCATCCACGATTTTATCAGGGCCAGCACTTTTACGGTTGTCATGAGGGTGCAGGCATCCAATTTTTCTTATCTGCCTGATTAATACAAACGCTGTTTCAGGACGCATTAATTAACAGATACAAATCTACGTTCTCATGGAAGGATCAATACAGAGAAGAAAAGAGGCATCAATGTGAATTTAGTGCTGATGATGGAGAAGGCACTCTATTGACATTTACGTGCATAGAAACTTTAAAGTTGCAGTGGAGCCCTTTTGTCCCTGTGATTTACAAATTAACAATTTTTCAGGTATAACAATGTTTCACACACTTTGAGGAGTTTAATTAAGCAAAAAGCAATAAAATCAGGTTTGATTAAAAAAAGTTTAACCTGCAATTTCTATTTTTTTTCTTCTGAAAACTCCCAACTTCCTTCTTTTATTTACTTATCTATTTTAGCACAGGTTTGTTTTTCTGTTTTTTTAAAAAACAAATAATGCTATGTTTCAATAACATTTATTGTGTGCCACAGTCAAAGGAAATTACATGTGCCCTGTGAGGGGGAAAAATGGGATGTTGTCTATAATTTATTGTACTGCACTCCTGAAAAATCTGCATTCTGATGCAGTAAATATACTAATTGTTTTTATATGACACATAAAAAACCAAGAGATTTTTTACATTCTAGAAAAACTAGCAAATATAAACCTCACTGTTCTGCTCTCCAATAATAAATCAAATAAACACGATTATTTTCTTCCTGATCGAAGTAACTTTCCCTTGAAAGCCTGCTCAGTGAAAGCATGTTTTAACTTTTAAAGGCATCCCTCATGGGAATGTAAAGCTGCATCAAGTTGTAATTAATCTGTTTTTGTTTTGTTTTGATTTTTCAGAAAATGTGAAAGCATCCGGCATGTCTCTTGTATAACACCAATGCCCTTTTAAAAGATGTTCAGCAAGTCACAGTTGAAAGAATAGATTACACGGGCATATGTATTTATGTACAGAGATTTATTTTTAAGTGTTTGGAAGAGGTTATACTTATTTCATGCCAAACTGTGCTCTGATTCTGTGAGCTTTTGTTATATGAATCCCCTAGATCAACCACATTGTGTGACAAGTGGACATTTTCTATTTTAAAATGTAACTATTTTTAAAAAACTCTCAAAATTAGACAAAATACACTTCCAGGTTTCTCGAGCAGTGTTAGCCTCCCCAGTCACAGCTGTAAGCTCTTTCCAAATGGCCCTGAGATGCTGCAGGATGGTGTGGTTTTGAACTTTGCCATGCATTGTGTGGGTCCTTAACCCTTAAGAGTCTTGCAGGTCAACATTTTAAATGTAGAACTGCATAATGGCTTTTTAAAGTACAATGTTGTGTACCTTCTTCCCCCTTAGCACGTACCATACTGGTGACAACTTTGATCTCTCTCCATCTCCCTCCCCAAGTCAATGCCATTTAATGTATCTCAGGCATTTGCTAGCAGAATGACTCTGTACCTTGACCTGCAGTTAAATAGCATGTTTATCTGCGATACAGCTCACTCCAAATAAACCAGATGACAGTTTGCAATAACGTCATTTGGAAGGACTGAAAGGCTTCTCAAGAGTCAGGTACCCCTGAGGTAAGAAGCTTGAAGGAAGCATGTTTTGTGCCAACCCTCCTGCCATCTTCTACTAGATGCTCGTGCGCTTGACAATGATGCCATGGGCACTTGTCAAGATTTTTTTTTTTTCTTTTTGCCGAGCAAACTGATGCACTTTGCAGTCAACTTACAAAAAAGGCTAAGCATTTGAAAGTGTGAAGGGCAAAAAATATCTGACGGCTAGTCTTCAAAAATACACTTTCATTTCAGAAAGCATAAATGTTTATTTCCTGAGCTGAGTGTTGACAGAAATAGGCTGCAGCACAGGCATATGAATTTAACCCCTGGTAGGCATTCTTTTCAGTGTGGTTTTTATGTGGCTGAACGCAAGCATTGTAAATCTACAGGGTGTCTCGTAATATCAGTTAACAATAGCATTGATTTGCTGGTTACAGATTTTCTTCCTTCCTTTTTTTCTTTCTTTCTGCTCCTTTCAGGGACTGTAGTGTTTCTTCAGCTAAAAATAGATACTTTTCTACAAACAGCGTATCGCACTCAAATTGTAATTATGCTGTAATGACTCACTGAGATCACAGAGTGTGGATTGAGAAAAGGTTGATTGAGCAACCGAACATATGCTTGTTTTTTTTTTTTTTTTCCTTTTGCATACCAGTAAACCCGAAGCTCAAAGGAAGCAGAAATAAATAGGTAAAAAGGCCTTAGCATTTTTATTATGGGAGCAACTAGCGGCGAGCTGACCGCGCTCTGTAGCGCTCAGCACTCCAAGCCAGCTCCAAACACCCTTCACAGTCTCTTAGACGGGGCCGTTTAAACCACAGATCTTTTCAAATCTCAGCACATGCACTGCTTGCTCTCTATTTCACACTGCACACAGCTCCATGGTAAGCAGGGTAAATCTTTTATATTCCTGAAGACCCTTTCCTCTACTTCATTAAGATGGACTTCATGGACACTAACTCACTAGGGGCTAGAGTGAAGCAGCTGCAGATGGTCAAGTGCCAAAGTAAGATCTGTGCCTTGCACACAGCACTCCGAGACCTATTGGACAAAAAAAGAGAGCGGCTGGACTTAGCCTACCATTATTTTCAGCCTTCAACTTTTGATGCGACGCCTACATCAGGCTACTCTGACTTGAATCCTAGTTTATTTCACTTTGCAGGGAATGAACTTCCCTTCCTCTCTGTTATGTTGTTTAGAAATCCAAATATTTGATCAAACCAGGTATGAAATTGTTGGCAAACCTGGGAGTAGCTCGCTTTTTCTGATAATCACCTCCCATTTATTTTACCAGTTGTTTTTGTGAATGTTAGTTTTATGAGTAAAACATTGCTCCATCTTGCCCTGGTTTGTACTTCAAATATCTTCATTTACATTTTGTATAATCAAAGCTGTGCTTGAAAAGGACATGTTTACTAGTGTGTTGCAGATTCAATATATTTACACAGTTGAAATACCAGAGCTGGATTTTTAAATTATTTACACTTAATTTTGATACATTAACTTCCTTCTAAATGTTCTGTGGGTACTGATGTTTCCAGCGCTATTTCCTGATTTCAAAAAATGATGTATAGTCACCACTGTCAAAAGAACAAACTGATGTTGTAAACGCTTTTTAAAAAAACTTTGCTTTCAGCCCAG